AAAGTCGCCCTGAGCCGGAACTACCCCTAGTGGGTTTGGCCCGGCCCGCTTAAACCGTGCTACGTGCTGCAGTGGAAAAGCGCCACTTATTGTGTTGGCAGCTCATTCCTTCAAACAGGAGCTTCAGATTGATGAGAATCAGAGGAAATGTGAAGGTAGATTTCAGCTTGATATGTGAATGTGTTATTGGGCTTTGTTAGATTTGTTAGAAAATGTTTTCAACTTTAATCGACTGAATTAACCTGAAAATTGGGCTCTTATTAACACATGAATAATACTGTGTAATATATTTGAACATGTTTATTTAAGAAGTACAATTTAAGACAAGCAGAAGGTTATTTTATTTAAAGGTGGGGTAGGTAAGTTTGAGAAACCGGCTGGAGATACACTTTTTGTTATATTCCATGGAATGCTCTTAACATCCCGATAGCAATGAATATCTGAAGTGCTTTGACAAAAAATCCATAATAAATATCATCTGTGGAAGCTGTAGTACTGTAAAAAGCACGACCAATCATCTGAGCCGGCCCGGCTAAAATAACTGGATGGCCTACCTGCCTGTCAGCCTTCCATCTGGGCACAAACTGATCTTGTGCCCTCATTGGTCATGTGCGCGTTCGTGTGTGTTGGAGGAGGGGCTCTGTGAGGAAGTGGCACATTTTCTCCGGCTGTGTATTTTCAAATTCTAGCGATCTCGAGCTGGTTTCTCAAACGTACCTACCCCACCTTTAAACTATAACATAATATAAAACACTTTCTTAACATATTCCTAGTTAGAACAGTAACAACAGGCCAGGATGAGGTCAACACAGCTTGTTGTATGTATTGGGGAAACAGTAACGTGCACAACATCACACGTGCACGAATTGCTATAAAAAGGATCTCTGTTTTTAACGTCACAACGTCGGGAAACGAGCTGCTACACATTTGATCTGTATTGATGTCAAATATGGAAAGTAGGTTTCTGAGTTGTACTTCCTTGATTACTCTGACTACATTATGTGACAATTATATTTCAGAATGTCGCTCATTTACCACCCCAAAGGTAATGCACTTGATGCTACAGCTCCTCCACATTATCGTGTAATGTCTCTGCACTTCCTGTTAGAGAGGAATTGCTGATACTTAACATGGCATGGCCAGCTTCATTTGAATGATATCAAATCAATACATTTCTGAGACCTTTAAATCATCTTCAAGATCAATTATTACCAGAAGAACCTGGTGTATATAATGTGGACATGTAAAGTGCTCTGTAATGGATCATCAGCACAAAGCACCAAGTATAACATCTGATTGACCAAATTCAAGATGGCCGCCTTGTTGTGGACCATATGTTTGACCAACTAGGGTCAGGGTTACAACGAGTCTTTTGAATATTATTCTAACATAAACACTTTGAAAGTAAAGCTGAGAATGATTCAGGTCATCTCGACCAAGATGCAATGCATTAGGTAACTTTCACCAGTTTAACCAGTAATGCTCAGAATACAATAAATTAGCCACCATTCACCAGATTACAATGAATATATACCATTTACCAGAATGCAATTGATATAAAGTCACTAACAAGAAAACTATGGATTTAACCCCGTTAGTCAGAATATAGTGGATGAGACACTGCCTCCCAGAATACAATAATACTGTCTCTTGACATGTAAGGCTTACAGAATATTATTATTTACATGTTAAACAACATCATAGCATTCAATTCTCTGATAATCATAGTTCCCATGACACACCCTAACCCTCAGGCAGACCAATGAGATGCCAACACTCCCTTCATGCCTCAATTCAACCACTGACACCATCAATCAGAAAGATTAATATCTACTGTTTCCTTGGAATCCAGGTGCGAAGTGTTTCCTTGGAATCCAGGTGCAAAGCGTGTCCTTGGAATCCAGGTGCATCTTGTGCAGGAGGGGGAGTTCTTCTTGATAAGGAAATAAGCGTATTATGAAATACACAGAACCTAAGATTCACTTTCATATGCATGGATTTGTGTTTATAAAATGTAACAAGAATAATAATATTGTTGACCAAGAAATCCTCTTTGCAACTTTCCATAAAAGATGTTTCTATGGGGAAAGTGTTGCAGTCAAAGAACCTTGGAAGTTTAATATGAATTTAGATTTCACAAAACAACATAATTAAAACTATAACATAATATAAAACACTTTCTTAAAATAAATACCAACAACTGGCCCTCAGTGTAAAGTCAGGTCTCTTTATTTAATGTTTTGCTCAAGCACAGAGTGAACATATCCAGTTGCTTCATCTTTATAACCATCAGCAATATTTCCAACTAAATGGTGTTAACAGTGATTCTCTCAAACAAAACAAGTTCTGCAGCTTTTTATTCATGAGCTGTGAATTCTGCACAAAGAAGGAAATAAACAAATGCTGAATTAAGCGATAGGATATTCCCAACATAATCAAAATGATACATTTAACAAAACAGATATTCTTTGTCTTTCACTTAAACTATGATTTCATAGTTCATCATTCTAATGTTGATAAAGCATGTCTGATCTTGTCCTGAACAGAAAAACCCACACCGCTTTCATGAGAGAAAAGACTCCTCTTGTATTCTCTAAATATAACTCGCTTGAAAATACTGTTTAAAAAAAGACAAAGCCAAAGCAACCGGCTCTTGAAGAACCTTATGTCCTAAAATAATGAACATAAATTCAACAAAATAAGCAACTATTGTTTCCCCATTATGTTTATATGTGTTATATTTCAACATCAGTTTTGACAGAGCGATTGCCGGATATATAATGCTTGAGTATATGTTACTACAATAGAAAGTTCCTATGAAGAAATATTGTTCAACTGTTCGTAAAGCATCGGCTTTAAACAGTTTGAGAAGATGATGAAATCAACATTTACTGATAAACAAAAGTCACTTTTTTATATCCTCATTTCTTCTGGTCCCTCTGGGTTTGAATGAATGTTTGATTCTGTGAAGCACGTTAAAGTTAGAATGGGATGTTAGGTTGCCATTTCAAACTTTAGAGCGACCAAGAAGCTAAGAGTTCTTCATCATTGCCTTAGTGGGAGAAGTTGGGAAATGTTTACCTCTCAGGTGTTCAACAGGTTTACCCGCTTCACACCAGACAATAACTGCACACAATGTTAATGAATGGGAACTCTAACCAGAATACAGTGAACACCACTCCCCAGAATACTTACTCATACAAGCTAAATTGTAGAAAGCAATAATAATAATAATAACTTAGATTTATAGAGCGCCTTTCAGGGGGCCCAAGGTCGCTTTACAGCAAGACACAGGAGTAAAGCATTAAAACCTTGATGAGAACATGGAAACTGCTGTACGTATCATTACTTTGTGAATCTAAACCCAATGCGCATGCTAGTCAGAGCGGAGCACGTCCTGACTTTTCCGTGTGTTTTATTTTTATTTTGTTTTTAAGATATATCTGTTGTAATTTATTGTCGTTTATTGTGATTTGTAGTAATGTGTTTTTATTACATGTACAGCACTTTGGCTCGACCAAAAATCGATTTTAAATGTGCTATATAAATAAAACCTGATTTGATTTGATTTGATGCTAAGCATCACTTGCTTTGGTGGAAAGAACTGGGGAAATCCCAAAAAGATATTTAGAAAAACCCAACAAGAGCAAACTAAATCCCACGTTGAGAAGCAGCAGCAGTTATCGCTCTGGAAGCCGCTCCCTTCTGCTGCGGAGATTAAGAAATAAAGGTGCAACCCTTTTCCTCAGAAGCTAGGTGCGTCTAGATAAGCAATACAGGAGGGGAGGGGGGTCCTATTGATAAGGAAATAAGTGTATTATGAAATACCCAGCACTTATCAACACTGTCATATGCGTAGATTAGTTTATATAAAAGGTTTCAAGAATAAGAATATTGTCCAAAAAATCCTCTGAGCAACTTGTGTATTTATGGGGAACGTTTTGTAGTCAAAAAACCTTGGAAGTTTAATATTAAAGGTCCCATGACTCATGGCCATTTCTACTGATCATAGTTCCATAGTTGAGGTCTACTAGAATAGATTCACATTGTTCAATGTTCCAAACTCACATTGGTTTCTCAGCATCTCTGTAAAGTCTGTGTATTCACTCTCTGTCCTGCACGGCTTGTTGGAGCTCCTGCCCCCCCCCCTCCCTGTGAGCCCACTGTGCTCTGATTGGTCAGCTCGCCCACTCTGTTCTGATGAGTCCACCACCGTTACAGCTGAACATCAGTGATTATGTGTTACAATGGCGTTTGTTAGCAACCAGGAAATGACACCAGTAATGACAAACAGATGAGAATGCTGCGTGGGGTCTGGGGGCCGTGTTGGTGGGACGCTGCGGGGCTCGCTGCTCCACCCTTTGAGGCTCGAGGAGCGGACACTGTGAGCTGGATTACTGGTGTTGTTTCCTGGTGTGGGGGGGTACTGAGGGGGCTGCAGCACCCCCATCTGCGAGGCTCCACTAGCACCCCCATTTGCGTCGAAGTTTCGCCCCTGCGAGACGCGGCTGAGAGACGTGGCTGAGAGAGTGTGTGTGTGTGAGGAGCTCCACGGATTGGACCAATTGGTCCATTTGGTCGTTGTTACGTAACTTGGTACCAGGAAGAAAAAAATGGAAAAAGAAAATCTCCAACGAGGCGTTCTGGGGCAGCATAGACAGGTCTTTTCTGTGTTATGGGGTATTTCCACCATGGCGCGGAGCGCGGTTTAAGCGTGCCGTGTCGTGCCGTGCCCGTTTTTGGTTGCGCTTCCACTAGGCCTAGTTCCGGCCCGGCCCGGCCCGGGGCCACTTTTTCACCTTTTTTCTGGGCCGACAAAATTGTGGTTCTATCGAGGCCACACTAGCGGGCCAACAACTGGGCGGAGTATGCTAAACTAGTGACGACTGCTGATTGGTCAGAGAGAATCGTCACAATTCTCGCGCGAGTTAATCATCCCTAGCGTCGCATATATTGTGACGCTTGCAGCATTTTTGAAAACAGAGAAGCTAAAAGAAGAAATGGCAAAGAAAAGCACACCGTGGTCGATTGACGAGGTTACGACGTTCCTCCAGCTGATAGCAGATGACAAAATCCAGCGGGAGCTCGACGGCACAACTCGCAACCTCAACGTTTTTCAGGAGGTCTCTGCACTGTTGTCCGGACGCGGATACGCAAGGACTTTCCAGCAGTGTAGGGACAAACTGAAAAAGCTTAAGAGTGAGTATCGAGCCGTCAAGGACCACAACGGCCGGAGTGGTTCAGATAGGAGAAGCTGGAAGTGGTTCGACCTGATTGACGATATTTATGGCCATAGACCGGCCAACGTTGGGAGGGAGGGAGGCCTGGACTCTGCAACCGCGTTGCTGGAGTCTCTGCATGGTAAGTCTTTGCTAACGCTCTGTTATTTGCTTGAAAGCGTTGTGTCCCTATCTATTATAAAGCTCACTTCTAACAAACAAGTCTATTTTATCCTTACATTTAAGTTCTACAACCCATGCTTTTATGGATCCCCGAAGAGCTACATAGCTAGCTAAGGCAGATAGCATTAGCTAGAGCTATTGTTTGCTACCACCACATGTGCCATTGTTTACGTTCAGTTTTTCTTTTCTACAGTTGTTGTTGTTGCTATTTAGTATTGTGCTGCAGTAGTTTGTGGAATGAACAAGTCATGTTGCTGTTCTAGATGATGCCATAGATGAGACTAGTGAGGAGGAACAGTCCCGAACAACGGGTGATCCGTCCTCGTCATCGAATCCAGAAGGGACCCCAACTCGACCACAGACACCAGCCGAACAACCGACACCAACTCAACCACCAACGCCGAGTGCCATCACGACACCGCAGCGTGTGGTTCTAGGTAAGAAATAGGCATGGCAAAACGACTGCAATTGTGACTTTTTTTAAACTTTAGATCATCCATCGTCAGTAAGTAAAATAAGCTATACCACTGTGTGGAAGTGCTCTGTTACAAGTAAGTAACTAGCTAGTAAGCAGCTAGTACAATTGTGTGTGACATCCTATTATATACATATATTTATATTCATTATCAACAGGCTGGACATAATGTAATTCACTTTCACAATCATTGTAAACATCTAGGGCATAACTGTCTTTAGTTCATCCTTACTGTAGTTCTGCTTATACATTTTATTCTTATATCCTTGTGTGACCTGTACCTGTCCTGTGTTTTTCATTCTTATTGCTAATTCTTATTGCTATAATTATCTTATCATCATACAGGCAAGAGGAAACGAGGAGGAGACGAGCACCTAGCACAGGAGGAACGGCACCATGAACGGAACCTGGCCCAGGTGGATCGGCACTGGCAGCTGACCATGGAGGCTACTGCCCGGGCAAGGCAGGAGGAAATGGCCTTGAGAAGGAGAACGCTCAAACTCTGGCATTTAATGGCGCGTTTCCACTACAGCGCGGAGCACGGTTTAAGAGGGCTGTGACGTCAGCGGCCCGTCTTTGGTTGCGTTTCCACTTGGCCTAGTACCGGCCGGCCGGTCCTAATTCACAGTTTTTCTGGCCTCATAAAATCTGGTCTAGGGCCAGAGACAACGAGGCTGAGTCGGGCTGAGTATGCTAAACTAGAGAGAGAATCGCTGGCAAGGGGGCTACAACTACAACAAGATGGACATATTTGACCGTGATTTAATTGTAATACACGTTTCAAAATGATGCCGAAGTAACAACATACTGATACCGGTTAGTAAAAACCATGAATTAATGCTTTGTCAAGTCTGCAGACAGACGGCAGGCGAACAACCTTTTAAAATGCTTGTTTTCTAAATGGAGATTGGCTAAGCTAACGCAGTATATGCTCCGACCGTCCACACTCACAACAACGGCCTATACAGACATAAATAAAGCAGCGACTGTATTCACCATGACACAGGCAGTCTGTGGTTTGTACTTGTTTCACTTTTGTCTAGTTTCTGAACATATATGAGGAGCTGTGAGCTCTGAGTGCTAACAGCTAACGGCTGTGTTGTTTTTCTGGGGTTCTCATTGAAGATCACGTCACGGCTCCGCCTACACTGCGTTACTATAGATACTACCCCAGCTACTAAACTGTAATGGAAATGCGCCATAAAGTGAGCCAGGCCTAACGAGGCCTAGCCATACCGAGCGAGGCCGAGCGAGGCCGTGTAGTGGAAACGCGCCATAACTTAGCCTTCCTGCGCACTCTTGGCCAGGTTGTGGACAGCCGACGTGGCCCGTCTCTTCAGGAAGACGAACCACCTCTGTAATTGCCACATTAGTACAGTACTTTCTTGTTTATGTCTTATCTTTCTTTTTTGTTTTTATAAGGCCATGGCTTTTTATGCTGCAATTAAAACACTTCCCAAATTAGGATTCAATAGAGTACTTCTCATCTTATCTCTTGTTGATAAATGCATCATCTGATTTCCTCCATCATCTGATTAACAAACTGATTTCCGTGAGCATGTAAACAAAGTCACTGGGTTGCCACTCACACACAAACACACAGTTTTGTAATCCAATCATAAACTGAAATGAAATGTACACGTTTCATTAAAGGGCTTTAAATCAGCAGAACAAAAACACTGAATTGTGTCGTAGTCCAACGTTTAAAACAAATTCAGATTCACATCATTTTGAGGCAGAAGTTATAGGCCTATATTTGTTCTAAATAATAATAAAAATAGGCTACTAATAACATTTATGTGGATCTAACATTGTACATGAATTTATAAAGCAATAAGAAACACCAGTTAGGAAAAAGCCCATAAGATAAAAAGTGCATTTTAAGAATATATTTAAAGCAAGAAATAGTTTGCTAGCTTGAGGTCCTCCTCTAAAACATTGTTTGGTAACTGACACATCATTACTTAAAGTCAAAGACTACCTTTTATAAATAAACTGGAAGGGGGTATTTCGAAAAAAAACAGAAAGAGGAGGATAAGGGAATGCTCTGGTTTTTGGACAAAATTAACATGGGATCACTCCCGTCACCGGACGTACTTCGTCTCACTGGAATAGTAACGGTCATAGTGAATATAAAATCGTCCCCATGTATCCGGCCAATGACGGGAGAGTTTTGAAAGAGACAAAACACTGTTCCATACATTTAAAAACACTTAAACAATTAAACAATGTTTACCTGCCAACAAGCAGCAGTGTGCTGTCATTTCAAACATGTTACCCCACTGTTTAACACACTTTTACCTGTGTTTTGAAGACTCTTTCCTGGGTCATTGTGTGCTCCAATGTGTCCTCTTTCACCCCCCTGGGTGTGTGTGAGACAAGTCAAGTGAGTCAGCCTGCCAACAAGCAGCAGTGTGCTGTCATTTCAAACATGTTACCCCACTGTTTAACACACTTTTACCTGTGTTTTGAAGACTCTTTCCTGGGTCATTGTGTGCTCTTTCACCCCCCTGGGTGTGTGTGAGACAAGTCAAGTGAGTCAGCCTGCCAACAAGCAGCAGTGTGCTGTCATTTCAAACATGTTACCCCACTGTTTAACACACTTTTACCTGTGTTTTGAAGACTCTTTCCTGGGTCAATGTGTCCTCTTTCTCCCCCCCTGGCTGTGTGTGAGACAAGTCAAGTGAGTCAGCCTGCCAACAAGCAGCAGTGTGCTGTCATTTCAAACATGTTACCCCACTGTTTAACACACTTTTACCTGTGTTTTGAAGACTCTTTCCTGGGTCAATGTGTCCTCTTTCTCCCCCCCTGGCTGTGTGTGAGACAAGTCAAGTGAGTCAGCCTGCCAACAAGCAGCAGTGTGCTGTCATTTCAAACATGTTACCCCACTGTTTAACACACTTTTACCTGTGTTTTGAAGACTCTTTCCTGGGTCAACGTGTGCTCACCAGGGGCACGAGAATACCCTCCACAGAAGGGGTCGTGGTTCCGTGAAGAAGGCCGAATTTGGGTGCTCATAGGCAGCCTGCTGCAGAGTCATTTTCAGGCTCCTCTCCACAATTGTCCCCCTAAAATGATTTAAAATCATTATTTTTGCATTTAAATGCATTTATTCTATCATTTATATGGTTCCCCAACACAATGCACATAGTCTGGAGCTCACTGGGGTCCTGCATATAATTTAATCAGGCGTTTTAACACTTTTTCCCATGAAAATGATTTTTAATCACTATCATGGGGCTATGAAAATAAAATTCCGGGTAATGCAGAGCACAAGTGCACCTTTTACTATTTAAATGTATTTGTATTATATATATTTGGGCTAGAAAGGTGACCTCTCTGGGTGATTTAGTCAGTTTATGGAGCTTAGCCCACAAATCCTGGATGATCCAGGCCGAATTTGGGTGCTCATAGGCGGCCTGCCAGGCGCCCCCACCCGTGGAAAGCAAAAAAAATTGAAGAAAACGCTTAATTATAACTTAAAATAATCAAAAATGTGAGTGCCAACGGGAGAAGGGGCCAGACTATTGGCGCTTCGGGCCGATTTTTCCCCTTCTCCGATGGTTGGTACAACGGATAAGGGAATGCTCTGGTTTTTGGACAAAATTAACATGGGATCACTCCCGTCACCGGACGTACTTCGTCTCACTGGAATAGTAACGGTCATAGTGAATATAAAATCGTCCCCATGTATCCGGCCAATGACGGGAGAGTTTTGAAAGAGACAAAACACTGTTCCATACATTTAAAAACACTTAAACAATTAAACAATGTTTACCTGCCAACAAGCAGCAGTGTGCTGTCATTTCAAACATGTTACCCCACTGTTTAACACACTTTTACCTGTGTTTTGAAGACTCTTTCCTGGGTCATTGTGTGCTCCAATGTGTCCTCTTTCACCCCCCTGGGTGTGTGTGAGACAAGTCAAGTGAGTCAGCCTGCCAACAAGCAGCAGTGTGCTGTCATTTCAAACATGTTACCCCACTGTTTAACACAGTTTTACCTGTGTTTTGAAGACTCTTTCCTGGGTCAATTGTGTGCCTCTTTCTACCCCCCCTGGGTGTGTGTGAGACAAGTCAAGTGAGTCAGCCTGCCAACAAGCAGCAGTGTGCTGTCATTTCAAACATGTTACCCCACTGTTTAACACAGTTTTACCTGTGTTTTGAAGACTCTTTCCTGGGTCAATGTGTCCTCTTTCTCCCCCCCCTGGGTGTGTGTGAGACAAGTCAAGTGAGTCAGCCTGCCAACAAGCAGCAGTGTGCTGTCATTTCAAACATGTTACCCCACTGTTTAACACAGTTTTACCTGTGTTTTGAAGACTCTTTCCTGGGTCAATGTGTCCTCTTTCTCCCCCCCTGGGTGTGTGTGAGACAAGTCAAGTGAGTCAGCCTGCCAACAAGCAGCAGTGTGCTGTCATTTCAAACATGTTACCCCACTGTTTAACACAGTTTTACCTGTGTTTTGAAGACTCTTTCCTGGGTCAATGTGTCCTCTTTCTCCCCCCCTGGGTGTGTGTGAGACAAGTCAAGTGAGTCAGCCTGCCAACAAGCAGCAGTGTGCTGTCATTTCAAACATGTTACCCCACTGTTTAACACAGTTTTACCTGTGTTTTGAAGACTCTTTCCTGGGTCAATGTGTCCTCTTTCTCCCCCCCCTGGGTGTGTGTGAGACAAGTCAAGTGAGTCAGGCCTGCCAACAAGCAGCAGTGTGCTGTCATTTCAAACATGTTACCCCACTGTTTAACACAGTTTTACCTGTGTTTTGAAGACTCTTTCCTGGGTCAATGTGTCCTCTTTCTCCCCCCCTGGGTGTGTGTGAGACAAGTCAAGTGAGTCAGGCTGCCAACAAGCAGCAGTGTGCTGTCATTTCAAACATGTTACCCCACTGTTTAACACAGTTTTACCTGTGTTTTGAAGACTCTTTCCTGGGTCAATGTGTCCTCTTTCTCCCCCCCTGGGTGTGTGTGAGACAAGTCAAGTGAGTCAGGCTGCCAACAAGCAGCAGTGTGCTGTCATTTCAAACATGTTACCCCACTGTTTAACACAGTTTTACTGTGTTTTGAAGACTCTTTCCTGGGTCATTGTGTGCTCACCAGGGGCACGAGAATACCCTCCACAGAAGGGGTCGTGGTTCCGTGAAGAAGGCCGAATTTGGGTGCTCATAGGCAGCCTGCTGCAGAGTCATTTTCAGGCTCCTCTCCACAATTGTCCCCCTAAAATGATTTAAATCATTATTTTTGCATTTAAATGCATTTATTCTATCATTTATATGGTTCCCCAACACAATGCACATAGTCTGGAGCTCACTGGGGTCCTGCATATAATTTAATCAGGCGTTTTAACACTTTTTCCCATGAAAATGATTTTTAATCACTATCATGGGGCTATGAAAATAAAATTCCGGGTAATGCAGAGCACAAGTGCACCTTTTACTATTTAAATGTATTTGTATTATATATATTTGGGCTAGAAAGGTGACCTCTCTGGGTGATTTAGTCAGTTTATG